GTAGAGTTTTTGGGTTTACTTATGTATACTATCATAACATCTGCAAATAATCACACTTTCACTTCTTCCTTTCCAATTTGTATCCCCTTGATTTCCTTTAGTTATCTTATTGCTCTAGCTAGAACTTCAAGTACTATATTGAGTAGGTATGGAGAAAGTAGACAACCTTGTCCTGTTCCTGATTTTACTGGAATTTCTTTGAGTTCCTCTCCATTTAATTTGATGTTGGCAATAAGTTTGCTGTATATTGCTTTTATTATATTTAGGTATGTCTCTTGTATCCCTGATCTCTTCAAGACTTTCATCATGAAGGGGTGCTGGATTTTGTCAAAGGTTTTTTCAACATCTAATGAGATGATTATGTCGTTTTTTTTTTCTTTCAGTTGGTTTATATGGTGGATTACATTTCTTGATTTTCATATATTGAACCATCCCTGCATCTCTGGGATGTAGCCTACTTGGTAATGGTGGATGACCTTTTTAATGTGTTCTTGGATTCAGTTTGCCAGTACTATGTCTCTCAACTGAGGAATGGATAAAGAAAATGTGATACATTTACAAAATAGAGTATTACTCAGCTGTTAAAAACAAGGATATCAGAAAATTTAAAGGCAAATGGTTGGAACTAGAAAAAAAATCAACCTGAGTGAGGTAACCCAGACCAAGAAAGACAAACATGGTATGTACTCACTCATAAGTAGATGTTAGCTGTAAAATAAAGGATAACTATGCTACAATCCACAGATCCAGAGAGACTAGGTAACAAGGAGGGTTCATAGGGGAACACCCAAATCTCCCTGGGAAGAGGAAATAGAAGAGATTTACTGAGTGGACTGAGGGCAGGTGGGGATGGGAACATGAGCAATCAGGTTTGAGGAGAGGAAGAGTACTGAAAGAGACTACTGGAAAGGGGGGGCCCTTGGGGGTGAGGTAAAAACCTGGTGCAGGGGAATCTCCCAGGAATCTACAAGGAAGACCCCAGCTTAGAGTCCTAGCAACAGGAGATACATAGCCTGAACTGGCCATCTCCTGTGACCAGATTAGTGCCTAGCCCAATTGTCATCAGAGAGGCGTCATCCAGCAACTGATGGAAACAGATGCAGACCCACAACCAAACATTAGGCGGGGTTTGGGGAATCCTACAGAAGAGGAGGAGAAAGGAGTGTAGGAGCAGGGGGGGCGGTCAAGGATACCACAAGAAAACTCACAGAATCAACTAAGCTCATAGGGGCTCTGAACTGACAACCAGGGAGCCTGTATGGAACTGACCTAGGCACTCTACATGTATATGACAGTTGTGTAGCTTGGTCCTCTTGTGCGACTCCTAACAGCAGGAACGGGCTGTTTCTGACTTTTTTACAGGCCTTTGGGACCCTACTCCTCATACTGGGTCACCTCGCCTAGCATTAATTCAGGGGGAGGTGCTTAGTCTCACTGACTTGATGTGCCATGTTTTGTTGATACTCATGGGAGACCTGCCCTTTCCTAAACAGAAATGGAGGAGGAGGGGATGGGAACAGAAGAAGGATGGGGGGAAGGGACTTGGAGGAGAGGAGGGAGGGGAAACTGCAGCTGGGATGTAAAAATGAGTAAATGATTTAAAAAGAAAAAAGAAGAAGAAACCCTGTTACTAATGGAGAGGACTTCTCATTTCAGAGAAAATGGCAGGATCAAGGAAAATCAGCTGGTTAATTCCCATTGCTTTTGCCAAAGAGATTAATTAAGAACCAGATATACTGCCTGCCACTGCTCTGAAGCCCTGGAAGGCAGAGCTGACCAAGGGCGGCTGCAGGATTTACACCAGCATGGGAACCTGCAATCCCACACCTCATCAGGATTAGAGCCCAGACACTTGGCCTCCTAAAAACCCGGAATACTTTAGTTATGAATACAAGTGAATTGCCATGCTCGATATTTCCGTACACAGATAACAACAACTGAAAATATTTCAGTAGATGTTAATAAAATGTGAGTGCTTATAAGAGGAAAAACAAAAGCTAGTTAAAACTATGGTTGATTAAGAGCAATTTTAACTGCATAGAATGTTTTGCCCACTAACTTCCTGTGTGGTAAAGCTCTAATTCTTTTATAGCCAACATACTGCACTGCTCTAAATATGACTTCCATCTGGCCAAAATGATGAATCACAGCTATTTTTATTGTAGCCAATGCATGATCATGGCATATCCATTCCAAGGGTCAATAAATAATATTTAATTAACTTCCTCATAAATTCTATAATCGAAGTGTACATCATTCTATTCCTTGGGTGACTGAGATGGGAGTTTTTCCCCCTCAAATATAATTACAAAAGAATACTATAGCATTAAAAAATCCTATAACACTTAATAAAATACTAGAACTTTTTAGTTTGGCAATTGAGCACGTTCTTGGTACACGAATTACATCCTAAGACGTGGATTTTCGCTTCTAATTCAGTTTGGAATTTCTATCACTGTCAAAAATGAAGTGAGCAAAAATAGGAGAAGCAACAGATTGCCACAGAGGAACATGCTTACGTCACTCTGGAGAAGTCACAGCCCTGCTGCTGAACTACCTGAATCCCATGTGCCCTCAACCACAGCACATCAGGTATCTGCACAGGAGGCTCCGGCCTCCTCCAGCAGCACCCACTTAGACCACCTTCACTATGGCTGCAGAAGGCTGGGGGCTGCAAAGGGAACAATGCTCCACGCTGCTCAGCCTGGAAGGTTGCTCCAGGGAAAACCAAAGTTCTGGGCCGGTGTGGGGCGGGGAATAATTTTAATTATGTTCCTTTGAGTTATTTGGCATAGCAGTCACCATTTGGTGTATTACCCTTTGACCTAAAAACGCAAGGTATTTACAGGCAGGTCAGAGCAGGAGCATATGGCCTGCTGACTTAACGGAAGAGATGGTTTCAGAAGAGAGCAGAGGAACAGGACGTAGCACATCTCGGAGAACAATCCCCACATTGACTAGGTCATCCCTGTGGAGTGGCTGGAGAGGCCGAGCTCTATCTGGGGACTACACCCCGTCTCCCTTCATTAGGTTTATGTTTTCTCCCAGCCCAGATGTGTTTGAGCAGAGGACTCCCTGTGGCCTGACAGCCATGCCTGCCAGATGTGGGGCATAAAATATTCTCATTTGTTCTCTTCTAAGTAATGAAAAAGTCACATCATCTAAAAGGAAGTGGTATGCACACTCTACAATTACCATGGAAGCCAAATCTGTGTGAGTCACCCAACTGCCTGCACAAGACAATTTGGCTACTGGAAAATCCAGATTAATGGCATTTTTTAAACAACAGAGTAACAACCTGAGCTGCCAAAAAAAATATTATTTTTTCATCATATCACCAGTATTTTTTTTTTTTGGTCTTGGCTATGTAGTACCTCCCACAGAGAATATGAAGACGAAAATCATGTTATACTGCATCTTAACTTTAAGTCTATATATTGATGGGGAGGTTGAATTAAGTAAATCAGCTTCGGACTTATACCCTGCCCTGAACCGGTTGTGGACTACTTTGGACCACGCTGAGACTCCAGGTTCTTTTCTCATTCCAAATGCAATTAGTTCATGGACTGTACAATAAGACACTCACATAGGTGACTGGGATCCAAGGTAACGGTCAGATCTCAAGGTTGTAGGCTGATGTACCCGCACTGGCCACTAACAGCAATCCCAAGGCTCCAAGTCCAGATAGCTCTCTCTCGCCTCCAAGTATGAGACACCAGGAGGAAGAACTGCTGCGCTTTAATCTCCAGCCCTGAAACGCCCACAGCCTAGGCTGGCAGAGTTCATCAACACCGAGGGCGAATTCGCTGCCCGCTGCTTTTATTTTCTCATGGATACAACACAGCCGATGCTGATTAAGTCAGTCACGCATTTGGATTTCGACCCGGGCCGGAATCGACATCCATTTGAAGGAAAAGCGACCTGCGGGCGGCTAGCACCACATTCCCGAAGTGTAGGAGCGCCACACAGGGTGTTGGGAGTTTCGGGTGCGAATCGCCAAGCAGCCGCGGCGCTCCGGGTTCCCCTCCACCTGCGACACCCTGCACCCGCCTAGACGCCGCCTGCGGCCCTTGCCCACCTCTCCGAACTCGGTCTAGAGCCCCCAGCCCCATCTCGGGTCCCAGAGGAGCACCTCCCGCCGCCCAGCCGCTCCAGGAGGGTGGGAGAGGAATCCCCTGCCCCGCCCGGCCCCACCTGGCCGGCGCCAAGCCGAGGAGCCGGTGCCTGCCGCCCCCCAGCCCTTCGCGCGCAGGGCTGTAATAATTACATCCTCATTATTTCTTCTGCGATCGTTAGGGAAAGAGCCCGAGAGCAGCAACAGCAGCTGCCGGGGGAGGCTTAGTTACAAAACCCAGCGCTGGGTAGCGCTTCGCTTAGCAACCACCCCTAAAAAAGCCCCCGTGCTCCCGGCTCGCACTTGGAGAGCCCAGCAGCGGCTACCCCCTCCCAACCCCTAGGCCCAGGCCCTGCTCGTCGCGACGGCTGCAGCAAAGGGCACAAGTGGCCCCTCCCCGCCTCCGCGACCCCAGCGCCCTGTAGCACCGGCTCCCAGCACCTTCCATTCATTCCCAGTCTGAGTCCCGGGGGGCCACCTAGGCTTGGGGGAGGGGGAACTCGGGTCGCTCCCCACTGCCCCACCAGCCCCCTCGCTGGCCAGCGCCCCAGGCTGCACCCCGTTACCCGGCCTCGCGGAGCGGGGAATTTCACACCTCCGCCTCGCTCCTGTAGCCGGGGAGCCCGTGTGCCAGCAACCCTGCCACCGGGCCCTGCAGCCGGGAAGGAAGGACCCCAGCCGCGGACCCCGGAGCACCGGCCACCCCTAAGGTTATCTCACACTCCCGGAGCGTGTTCCTAGTGGACTCCTACCCCCAACACAGCCGCCTAGGCAGGGCCCACGCGGGTCGGTCTCGCAGCACCGCCCCCTCCCTGCCCCGACGGCTCTGGCCACTTAGCGCCCAGGTCCCCGCATCCCAGTCCCCGCGGCCCCGCGCGTCTCGCACCTTCCTCAGAGCGGACATCCTTGGGCTTTTCCTAGTTCAGAAGATGCCGAGCGACATAGCAAGGTGGCCACCCTTCAGGCCAGGCGGCGCGCACAGCACTGCCGCCAGCTCCCAGGCTCGAGAATCCTTGGGTCCGTGCGTCGATCCGCAGTCTGTCTGTCCGCCGCCGCCGCTGCCGCCGCCGCCGCCGCCGCGCGCTCCAACCCCGTTCGAGCCCAGCGCACGGTCGGTCCTCACGGCCGGCGCCTGCGCACTCGGCGCCCGGGGAGGCACCGGCGCACTGGGGGGCGGCCGGTGCGTGGCTCCATCTGAGGAAGGGCCCAGCGCCGCGCGCCTAGGGGGAGCGCTCAGGCCGCTGGGCGGCTGCCAATGGCAAGCCTGGCCCGGAGATCGCAGGGCGCGCATGGCCCGGGAGCCCGCGCACAGCAGGTCCCAACTGTTGCGCGCAGAGCACTGGGTCACTCGAGGACAGTGAAGGTACCGGGCGGGGGAGCAGAGAGGTCCCACACTGCAAGTGCTCGGCGTGTTTGTAGGTCAGCGTGCGAACCCACACACAAGCCAATGCGCCTGGAAAGGTCTAGCTCAATCTGAATCAAGATGTGGCATCTGCAGGCGCATTGGGTGCACCGGACTCTGCCCGGTGAAGTCCCCCACATCTGTTGGGCTCCAAGGTCAGAGAGAGGGAGCGCTAGAAGACAGATCTGTTACAAAGCTTCTTACAGCCACTGAGAGTGCGCACACAGGTGCTCTGGGCTCTGAAATACAGCCTGTTTCCACCTGTTACCTCCCCGCCGGTAAACTGCTCAGTGCTGTGCTCAGAGAAATCAGGGATCCTCCAGTGGCACCCCTGGCACCTCGAATAGCAATCCTTATTAATAAACCTGGTACAGACACAGGGAAAAGAGATGGTGTCAGCCACTTGTTTGCTGCAGCAGCATATAGATAGATGTATGAAGTGCGAAAGTGGAAGCGAATAATAATAACAATAATAATAGTTTATCCTTTTATCTCGGAGAAGTCAGGAAGGCAACCAATAACAGTCTGGCAAACTTAACAAAATTAGCCACGCTGTGATGGAACCTAGTTAGATTCATGGGAACATCCCCCTCCTATCTGTCAGCCTGTCAAGAAGAAAAGTTATTGTGGCCTAGAGTAAAATGCCCTGGCAACTGAAGGCATAGTTTGACACTGGACTCTGGGGCTCTACCACTACACATAGCTAACCTCGGGCAAGTCACAGGGCTCCATGTAAATGTGAACGTAAAAAGGGGCTTTGTCTCCATGGTTAAGACGTTTAAATGTGGCCAAAACTTAATCAGCAAGATGAATATTTACAGAAAGATGGACAGGTGTAGAATGGAAGAGAGGCACATGAACAACCCAATATTTTCCAAAATTCCAAGATCTTTACACAAAAACAGTCTCCATAAAATGTTTTTCATATAATCAGTCAACAACTTCAGTGTACTTTAAAAGCAAAATACAAATTGTGTGAGAGATACATAAATGACTCAAAGAAACCTGACATACCACCTTCTTAGTGTTTTTTTTTTTAATATTCCAATTGGTTTCACAGTGGAAAGCCATATTTCAAATAATTTTCACTTATTTGAAATGCGGCTTTCCAAAAACCTCAAACCAAAAATCTAGATGGCATATCAAGTTTTAAAATTCTAGTAACCATTTTCTCGCCTCCTCTCCACAGGTGTCCCCATCTTTCCATTCATTTACTTGCCATCTCATGCAGTGGTAGCAACCAAAGAAACACAAGTGGTACTTATAGTGAGTGCTTACTTATGTGTTGTGGACGTGTGAACAAAACAGGAAAATAAAAAAAAAGATTGTCACTGGGCACACATCCCGTCTTGGGATGGAGCCACACTACAGTTATGGGAGTATACTCATGGATTACATTTGCTTCTGTGAAGGAACTGTGCTGTGTTATTGGAAAATGAAAAGGACAGTAAACAGTTTACGATGTTAAGGAGGTATTAATGAGGGTGCCATTACATGAAATCTTCCTCTGGTTTGCCCCACAGGAGGTCCCAAGACATGGTTTTGAGTGTAGGTGATTTATTTGAAAGCCTTATCTCTGGAAACTAAACAGGAGGAAAGGTAATAAAAGGTGTGTCATCAGGGTGATCTCTCCTTCAGGCAGCTGGGGCCAATCCTATTGAAGATTCTTTGAGGAACAGTCTGAGGTGTACTTCAGAATTGCTTCCATCCTCCCCCTCCTCTCTGCTTCCCCTGCTGAGCAGCTTTGATAATGTCAAAGGAAGCCACCTTCAGAGTTGACTATGGATGAGGTGAAGCCAGAGGTTGGCTTCTACCAAAGCTCCCAAGAACAGGATGGGGGGTGGGGTGAAGTGGGGGAAAGTTCTGGTAGTAGGAAGAACAGGCCTGACGACCCAGAGACAACCAAAGACTTGCCTTTTCTTGTAAATGACTAGTTAGATTAGGAACTAAGAGACCTTCCTGAATGTGGACTGACAGACAGTGCATTGGGAGGTTTTGTAACACATTTAAAGGACTTGGAATAATGTCTTAGATACAATGTAATTTTATGTGGGATTTTGACCAGGACATTAGGACTTTCTTCATGGCACTTGCAGACAAAAAGACATTTTTGTATTTCTTCCTTCCCAATATATGGTCTTTTTATTTCCTTTTCTTATCTCATTACATTAGCTAGCATTTCTAGTATGATATTGAAATCAGTGGTTAGAGGGACTATCCTTGCCTTTGTAGGAAAGCTTCTAATTGTTTTTCCCCCTTGATGGTGATATTTGCAGAATTTTTTGGTAAATGTTCTTTATTAAGTAAATTATCTTTTATTTATTGGTGACTGAGAAGGTTTTTGTTTGTTGTTTGCTTTGTTGTTTTTATAAATCATGAACTCGTGTTAGATTTTGTCAAATGCTTTCTCCATTTTTTTCTTTTGATTCTGGTCCTGTAATGAACTAGAGTGAGTGAGTTTTTAAAATGTTTATTTTATGTTATGTGCATGAGTATGTTTGCCCGAATGTGTGTATGTGCACCAGCGTGCATGCCTGGTGCTTTCAGAGGGCAGAAGGTATCAGAGCTCCCGGAACTTCAGTTCCAGATGGTTGTGAACCACCATGTGAGTACCAGAAACTGAACCCAGGTTCTGTGCAAAAACAGCAAGAGTTCTTAACCAGCGAGCCATCTCTCCTGCTCCGCAGTGATTATTTTAGATTTTTAAAAAGACCTTCTTGGTTGCTAACCGAAGAGGTGGAATGGCAGTGGGGTAAGAGCTGGGAAACAGCAGGAGGAATGGAGAAGAGATCAGCGTTCAAATGGAATCTCCATGAGAGGTGGGGACACAAATTAGATGTGATCTTTCTGGATAGGTCTGTGGGGGAAAGAGGAGAGAAGGAAGTAATTGCATTTCCCAAGGCTAGCCTGGCTGCCCAGTGGATGGCGCCTGTGGCTGACTGGGAGTGATACAGGAGTGCTCCTGTCTGCTGGAGTTCTGGGAGACTGTAGCAAGCAGAAGCTGGTATATTGGTCTGCATCCAGGGTCTTCTGTTTTCTTGAACCATCACACTTTCGTGTCTTGTAGTCCAATGAAATTCACTGTCACCAAAGACCGTGAAGACCTGCCCTCAACAAATCCAGCTGTACATTCAAACGGGTAAACCCTCCTTTGACTTGGCCGCAGGACGGTTGTCATTTCTTGTCCCCTCTAGTCACTCCTTCCCTTGGGCCAGAGCTGGACCCTCTTCATCTCTCAACTTTCCAAAGGTGAGAAGCCGTCGTGGCTCAGCTCTTAGCCACTCCTCTGGCCACATTCATTCCCTCCACGGTCTCCTAAGCTTATGTATCAAAAGCTGCTCTGCACCGCTTAACAAAGGGCCTCCCAAAGGATCCCCGTATCATCCTGAAACCCCAACTTTTCAGGTTCTGAACCCAAATCCTGAACCCATTCTAGATTTCCCCTTTTCTATCACAGACCAATCTGAGGACTTGGAACATCTCGTTTGCTTTGCCTTCAAACACATCCACACCCTGACCATCTCCTCTTACAATCTTCAATGTTACAGCTCAGATGCTAACCACCAACATTTTCCTTATTGCAACCACCGCACAGTGGTCTCTTGCAATGCAGTTTACTCTCAGTAGAGAAGCTGAAGTCACTTCTTGAACATTTATATCAGATCGTTTCACTTCTAGGCTCAAAACTGATCAATTTTCCACATCTCCGCGAGAAGTTCAATGTTGCTTCTTCCATGATCGTCACCGGTGAAGCAGAATAAGGCAGCAAAGACCAATTATTAGGTACTGATCTATTGATTTATTTCGTGATTTACTCAAAGCACTGCTTGTACTGTCTATTTGCCAAGCATGCCTTTGCCTCCTACCTGGAACAGAATGACCATGACCAGGGTAAATAGTGGTAACATTGGGTCATGTTGCCCTTAACAATCTGCAGACTGCCATTTAGGCATCTGTACAATATCACTCGCTTGCCCACCCCACCTTGTGGTTTTAGAGTATAAAACGCTAATAGAAACTGTACCCCAACCGAGGCCTTTCAGGAACTATCCTGGCTTGAGTTCATCAGTAACATCTCTGCCCTTCCACTCTCACTGATATAGGAGAGCTTATTCCAAAGAGTCCTGCAACACCCCGAGGCCACGCCTTCTCTCCTCTCTGATCCCTACCGGCATCAGATTTCCCAAACACAGGCTGGCAGGCAGGCTCTTTACTTGAACCGTAGTTTGTCTTCTTCTCTGTTTTGAGCATTTTCTTCATAATATCATGTCTTCCTCGTTCATCTCCTCAAGTCTGTGCTTGTTAACCTCCACTAACCAAAGTCGTCTGCGTTGTGTCTTTCGTTATAAACTCGCTCCTTGTAACCCTGCATTATTTCTCTACGAAGAGCTCGTCTCTTTGGGATATGGTCCTTACAGTCTTCTTTGTCCTGCACCTCTCTTGTCTGACCTTTCACGGACGTTTATTTCCAGCTTGCAGGTCGTGCAGACACTCGGCAGTCATGCTTCCGAAGAAGCAATTCCAAGGACGGAAGAGTCAATGTCAGCAGGGCACAAGGGTCCCAGCGCGGGAGCACCGCCGGGCTTTAAAAGCAAAGTGCCTTGGGTGGAAAACAACACAAAGAGAGGGACCGGTAGACGCGAAGCAGAGGGGAGGCGCTGTCGGTGGGTGGGCACCGCTGGTGTGCGGGCGCACCAGTCCCC